AATGATGATGTAGATAATGATAATAAGACTAATAAAGATAATGATAATAATAACACAAAAAATTGTGATAATATCATTGATGATAATAACAATGATAATATTAATATATAATAATGATAATATTATTATATAATAATGATAATATTATTATATAATGATGATAATATTGCTGATAATAACAATGATATCAGTATCAACAAACAAAACAAAAATTATAATAATAAAAATCATAATTATCGTAATAATAACAACAACAGTAACACTGACAAACAAACAACAACACCAATCCACAACACCTCTTCCACACTGCAACAATATCCCTCTTTCATAATCCAGTCCACCCCCTACCCTACCCCCACTCCACCCCCCCCCCTTTATGGTGCAGCAGTAGCGATCTCGTCTAGCAATCTTGCTGACCTGCGTACGATTCCCTCGCCACCAGTGGATGGTAACCCCGGCCATTCCTTGCACACAGGGGATAATTGAGAAGCAAAATAAAACAGACAGTATGTCACACCAACAATATCAATTATTATTATTATTAATTAATTATTTTAATTACTATACACCTCACCCCATTACGATAATTCAACGCTTTTCTCTCTCTCTCTCTCTCCCGTTTCTCCAGGATCAACGACCGCCATGTTGGGCTATCTTGTCTTGGGACTTGTGGCAGCTGCCCTCCTCGTTCTCGTTGCTTTGTACCTCACCAGGACCTCCACCTCAAGTGCCTTCTTCAGGGTGAGTAAAGGGGGTGGGGTGAGTAAGGGGATGGGGTGAGTAAGGGGATGGGTGTGTGTGTGTGTTCGTGGTCGGTTGTCTGTGAGTAGTTTTTTTTGAGGTTCCGTTTTATAGTCTTGTTTTGTGTGTGTGTATGTATGTTTTTTTTGTGTGTGTGTGTTTTTTTAGTGTAATGGTGATAGTGGTAATAACAAAGAGACAGTTAGAGGGGTAGATAGATAGATAGTTAGATTGACATACAGATAGGTAGATAGATAGATAGGCAAATAGATAGATAGACAGGCAGACAGACAGACAGACAGACAGACAGACAGACAGACAGACAGACAGAGAGACAGGCAGACAGATAAACACACACACACACACACACACACACACACACACACACACACACACACACACACACACACACACACACACACAGAAACAGACAGACAGGCAAACAGACAGACAGGCAAACAGACAGACAGAAAGACAGACATACAGATATGCAAACAGACAGACAAGCAGACAGACAGACAGACAGACAGACATATATATAACCAGAATTAAACAAATAGACAGAGAAACAAGGTTTTTGTGTCCCCTTTGATATCACTGGTATGTGTTTATAGTGTCGGTTTATAGGTCCTTGGATGTGTCTGTTAAAGGGTTAATTGGGAGATTATGGAATGGAATAAGGAGTCGAGAAAGACACAGATACACAGACACACAGAAACAGAAAAAAAAGAGACAGACAGACAGACGGATAGACACACAGACAGAAACAGAAACAGAAAGTGACAGACAGACAGCCAGACAGAGACATAACCAGACACCGAGATAAGAAACAAAAGGGACAGACAGACAGACGGATAGACACACAGACAAAAACAGAAACAGAAAGTGACAGACAGACAGCCAGACAGAGACATAACCAGACACCGAGATAAGAAACAAAAGAGACAGACAGACAGACGGATAGACACACAGACAGAAACAGAAACAGAAAGTGACAGACAGACAGCCAGACAGAGATATAACCAGACACCGAGATAAGAAACAAAAGAGACAGGCAGACAGACGGATAGACACACAGACAGAAACAGAAACAGAAAGTGACAGACAGAGACATAACCAGACACCGAGATAAGAAACAAAAGAGACAGACAGACAGACGGATAGACACACAGACAAAAACAGAAACAGAAAGTGACAGACAGACAGCCAGACAGAGACATAACCAGACACCGAGATAAGAAACAAAAGAGACAGACAGACAGACGGATAGACACACAGACAGAAACAGAAACAGAAAGTGACAGACAGACAGCCAGACAGAGATATAACCAGACACCGAGATAAGAAACAAAAGAGACAGACAGACAGACGGATAGACATACAGACAGAAACAGAAAATGACAGAGAGACATAACCAGACACCGAGATTAAAAAAAATAATAATAAAAAAATAAGCGAGAGAAAAAAAAGAAAGAAAGAAAAACAGAAAAAAAAACACAGACAAAGCTAAAAAAAAAAAAAAAAAAAAAAAAAAAAAAAAAAAAAAAAAAAAAAAATAAGGAGGATAAACGAGATACAACAGAATTAGACTTGAAGCCATCAAGTCCAAAATTGGCATCACGGCTCTTGACTTAATGACACCCTCCTTTGCGTAATTGCATAATGTTCTGGATTAATTAGATAGTCTCCTGATCACTCACCGTCGTTTCTTTATCTGTTCCTCTTTCTTGTGATTTTTTTCTTTGTGTTATCTGTCTGTTGTGTTAGCTTGTGTGTGTGTGTGTGTGTGTGTGTGTGTGTGTGTGTGTGTGTGTGTGTGTGTGTGTGTGTGTGTGTGTGTGTGTGTGTGTGTGGTGTTTATGTTTTTAATTATCGTTCATTTTTTAATATTAGGGGTGTTTGTCTTCGATAGATTCCGCTAAATTTTGTGTAGTTTGCGTTCTATTTTAGAGAGAGAGAGAGAGAGAGAGAGAGAGAGAGAGAGAGAGAGAGAGAGCGTGAGTGAGTGACTTAGATGGACAAAAGCAAGATCAGAAAACAAAAAGAATGAGAGAGAGAGAAAAAAAGGAGAAAAGAGAATCGACAAGAAAAGAGAGAGAAAAAAACACACACATGCAACGAGAAAGAAAGAAAGAAAGAAAGAAAAAAAATATCAACGACATAAGAGAAAGATAAAAAATAATAATAAAAAAAGACACGGCAACCAAACCCAATATACCGACCAAACAAAAACGAAAAAAACAAAAACAAAACAAAAACGAAAACAAAACAAAATAACTTCCCGATCCTCGTATACCTCCTAAAGATCTCTCTTTGGCCAAGAGCACCTCGTGAAGTTTAAGAAGAATCCGGAGCGACCAGCAAGACGAACCACCGAGAGACGAGATACTTCCGCAAACACAGGGACATACTTGTGTAAATTAGATTCCGTGGTTGGGGGAGGGGACAAGGAGGGGGGAGGAGGGAGGGGGGAGAGGACAAGGAGGGGGGAGGAGGGAAGGGGACAAGGAGGGGGGAGGAGGGAAGGGGGGGTGTTAAGAGGGTGAGAGAGAGAGAGGGAAAGTGGGGTTGAAGAGAGGCAGGTAAGGAGGGATATATATATATCATATATATTATATATATATGTATGTATGTGTATGTGTAAGTGTATGTGTGTGTGTGTGTGTGTGTATGTATGTGTGTGTATGTGCGTGTGTGTGTATGTATGTGTAGGTGTGTGTGTGTGTGTGTGTGTATGTGTATGTGTGTGTGTGTATGTGTATGTGTGTGTGTGTGTGTATGTGTGTGTGTGTGTGTGTGTGTGTGTGTGTGTGTGTGTGTGTGTGTGTGTGTGTGTGTGTATAAAAATATGTAGATAGATAGACATATCCACTTCCTGGTTTCCTTCCACTCTCTCCAAACCCGATCCTTCTCATTCCATCATAACTTTTTTCCGAAAAATCTCTCCCTCCAATATTACAATATTACACAAAACCACCAATATTTCCAATGGCCAATATTCCTTACATATTCAGGGAAATCTGCACCGACAAGCTAACCCAATTTACGAACGAATAATGCCTGCAACCGAACACTCATTACGCAAAGACTTCTTTGAAACGCCTCCCCTTGCACTGTGTTGCATGGCGCGTTGCAACGCCCATTGGGATGAGATTATGACGCTGCAGAAGGATGCTTGGGAACGGATTATATCGGGGTCGCGGTGGAGAAAAACTTGGCGTATATATTCTTCGTATTTCCTGCTGTGGATGAAAGTGAAATGTTTTGTTTGTGGTTTATAATAAAAACGAATGTAATACATGTAGTATATGCTGTGTGAGATACAGTTGTAATCAGTAGATTATAATATACATGTATAGATAGTTGTGTGCGTTTGTTTTTTTTTGTATATACATGTATATATATATATATATATATATATATATATATATATATATATATATATATATATATATATATATGTATATATATATTCACCTTCAGGATCACCACTGTTAGAATTGTATATTTCTTAATGCAAGTGTCCCTCCACCCATTTCCCTTCTCCTCCGGCCGCACGGTTTCTTCGAATTAACCCGTGCCCCGTGTCTTCCCAGAGGGACGTGGAGACGGGCCTCGTGTCATGGGGCCGCGGCAGAGGCTTGGAGGGCCAGGCAGCCGTCATGATCTCGCACTCGCTCCCAGATCTGTCTCACTCCGTCTCGCAGGAACAGCTCCTTCCCGTCGACAACAAGAAGGTAAGTGGTGGCTCCTGAGGCAAATAGAGGTGGGGGGAATAGAGGGATTTTCCACAAGAGAGAGAAAGAAAATGGAGGTTTGAAGTTCTTAGCGCTCTGATGGGTTTATCGGATTGGGTTTCCGTTGGCCGCAGGAACCTGAGGGTTTGTTGGAGACGCCCGGCTGACACGGAGGCTGCAGCTCATTTGTTTTTTGTTTTTTTGTTTTTTTCAAGATTTTTTTTCTTTCGTCGAGGCCGCATATAACAAGTTTATTTTAAAAACTGTCTTTGGCGATAGCAAGATACCTTAAGTAGACAGGTTCTTAGGGAAATAAGTAAATAAGTCTTTAAGTAGAAACATGTTTTTTAGGCAGAAGTTGCATATAATCTGACTTTTGTTTCCTTGAAATATTTTTGAAGTTTTGACGTATCTGTCATAGGTAGTTACATAAATCCCTGTTTCTACTTTGTTAACACAGCTTTTGATGTTCGAAGCATTAGTTCTATTAATCTTGCATCGACTTTGAGAGGAAGACTGCATCTGATTTAAGCAGTTACAGAAATTACATATCCATTCCCCTTTGTTTCATCAAAAGGGTATACGAAGTTACGACATACCTATTTCCTTAAATACTGAAGCTGTTTTTTCGTTCTTTTGCTGTTTTAATCAGGTGCAGAAATGCCTTATCAACTAGCCTTATACCTCTTTAAAGCAATCAGCATCGAAATAACGACGAACGTGCTTTCCCCCCCTACACAGAAGTAAAAAAAAAAAAAAAAAAAAAAAAAAAACAAAAAAAAACATCCATTATTTTTTTAATGAGTATCTACATCAAAAAAACAAAAAAATGCAAACCAGGAAACGAGGCCACTTTAACTCGATCTCCGCCCCCCCCCCCCCCCCCCCCCCCCCCCCCTAGGTCGCCCGCCAAACGACCCTCCCCACTGTCCCTCAACGCCACGCGAGTTTCCAGCGCCAGCTCTCCCAACGCCTCCACCTCGACAGCATCCAGTTCTCGGTCTGCAACCTTGAAAAGAAGGATGACCTCGGCTTGCTGAAGGTGAGGTCAAGTATGACTATTGGCAGAATTTGGTGTTTGTGGATTATAATAGTGGTAGTGTAATATCTGAATTAATGTATTGTTAGAATTGGTGATTGGAAAACACTGTGATGGATTTTTTTTTCTTTCGTCGAGGCCGCATATAACAAGTTTATTTTAAAAACTGTCTTTGGCGATAGAAAGATACCTTAAGTAGACAGGTTCTTAGGGAAATAAGTAAATAAGTCTTTAAGTAGAAACATGTTTTTTAGGCAGAAGTTGCATATAATCTGACTTTTGTTTCCTTGAAATATTTTTGAAGTTTTGACGTATCTGTCATAGGTAGTTACATAAATCCCTGTTTCTACTTTGTTAACACAGCTTTTGATGTTCGAAGCATTAGTTCTATTAATCTTGCATCGACTTTGAGAGGAAGACTGCATCTGATTTAAGCAGTTACAGAAATTACATATCCATTCCCCTTTGTTTCATCAAAAGGGTATACGAAGTTACGACATACCTATTTCCTTAAATACTGAAGCTGTTTTTTCGTTCTTTTGTTGTTTTAATCAGGTGCAGAAATGCCTTATCAACTAGCCTTATACCTCTTTAAAGCAATCAGCATCGAAATAACGACGAACGGGCTTTCCCCCCCTACACAGAAGTAAAAAAAAAATAAAAATAAAAATAAAAAAACATCCATTATTTTTTTAATGAGTATCTACATCAAAAAAACAAAAAAATGCAAACCAGGAAACGAGGCCACTTTAACTCGATCTCCGCCCCCCTCCCCTCACCCCCACCCCCCCTAGGTCGCCCGCCAAACGACCCTCCCCACTGTCCCTCAACGCCACGCGAGTTTCCAGCGCCAGCTCTCCCAACGCCTCCACCTCGACAGCATCCAGTTCTCGGTCTGCAACCTTGAAAAGAAGGATGACCTCGGCTTGCTGAAGGTGAGGTCAAGTATGACTATTGGCAGAATTTGGTGTTTGTGGATTATAATAGTGGTAGTGTAATATCTGAATTGATGTATTGTTAGAATTGGTGATTGGAAAACACTGTGATGGATTTTTTTTTCTTTCGAAAGTCTATAATGTCATGAGATTAATTTGATTTTTTTTTCATTTCTCTTCCTCCTCCGACCTAAATCAACATCAATGACTTTCCTGTCCTTATTTTTCTATCTTTCACTAATGATTCGCGTTCCCTATTCCTCTCTCTCTCTCTCTCTCTCTCTCTCTCTCTCTCTCTCTCTCTCTCTCTCTCTCTCTCTCTCTCTCTCTCTCTCTCTCTCTCTCTCTACACTTTCCTCATTCTCTCTCTCATCCCTTTCTTCCTCCCCCCCTCTCCATCCCTCCCTCTTTTCTCCTTTCCCCTCTTTTCTCTTCCCCTCTTTCTTCTCTCCCTCTTTCTTATCTGTCCTCCTTTATCTTCCCTTCTTTCCCCTCTCCTTCCTTCTCATTTATTCGCCTTCCTCTCCCCTCCCCCCCCCCCTCTTGCATTGTATACCCACAGCCTGAACTGTACAGGAACGAGCTCATCCGCCAGGCGTCCGTCGAGAGTTCCGGCGCAGGATCGGACACGGAGGCGGTCGGGCGTCTGCGGTTCACGCTGAAGTACGACTCGGCGATCGAAGGCCTCATCGTCAAGGTACGACAGCGCGCTCTTTCCCGTTTTCTTTCTTGGGCTTCGGCGTGTCCCGTTTTCTGTTCGCTTTTGGGGAGGTTGGGGGAGGGGGGTGGGGGGTTGGTGTGGTTTTATTCTTCTTTATCCTTCTGTTTTTCTTTGTTGTTGTTGTTTTTTTCTCCAGCTCTTCTGTATGTCAGTTTTTCTATTCTCTTTCTCTTCTTTCTCGTCTCTCTCTTCTCTGTCTTCTGTCTTCCGTCTTCTCTCTCTATTATCTTTCTCTTCTCTTTCGTCTCTCTCTTCTCTGTCTTCTGTCTCTTCCCTCTCTTTTCTCTCTTCTTTCTCTTCTTTCTCTCCTCTCTCCTCTCTCCTCTCTCTCCCTCTCCCTCTCTCCCTCTCCCTTTCCCTTTCCCTTTCCCTTTCCCTTTCCCTTTCCCTCTCCCTCTCCCTCTCCCTCTGCCTCTCCCTCTCCCTCTCCCTCTCCCTCTCCCCCTCCCTCTCTCATCCTTTGTTTTTCTATCTCATTTCTCTCATATCCTCTCTCTTTCTCTCTCCTTCCGTTTATCCGTATATCCTCCTATCTCCCACGATCCTCATCTCCCTGTCTATCTTCATCTATTCATAGTCATCTTAGTACTCATTCTCCATCGCCCTGGCTATTCACATCTACCGCAGACACGCATCATTATCAAACACGTAAAAGGAATTCGGCCCAGAGAGTTCGCCATTATCCGGGCTAAACAAAACAGAAGGAAAAACAAGACGCGGAAAATCGGAAGAAAAAGGAAGGGGTGGAAATCGAAGTAAAAAGGAAGAGGGGTGGGGGGGAAAATCGAAGGAAAAGATAAATTCATGTTTTTTTTTTTGTTTTTTTCTTTACATTTTCATTTACTCACTTTCCCGTCACAGCGCATGATTTCGTCTTCATTGGTGATAAAATCATTTTCACTTATTGGGTTAAAACAGTCTCACAGCTTCACTTTTCACTTCACTTTCACTTTTCACTTCACTTTCACTTTTCACTTCACTTTCACTTTCACTTTTCACTTCACTTTTACTTTTCACTTCACTTTCACTTTTCACTTCACTTTCACTTTTCACTTTCACTTTCACTTTCACTTCACTTTCACTTTTCACTTTTCTCAGTCCTTCGGCGTCACTTCCTAGCCTATCATTTCAGATTCTTGATCATTTCATGTCACTTTCATTTCCTCAGTCTCATTTCCTCGTTTTGACTTCCTTGTCTGAATAAAATTTACTTTGTGTCATTTTCACTCTGTAGTTAAAAAAAAAAATAATCTGGACAGGAAATCATTTTTCCTCATTTCCATTTAGAGATTAACTTCGATTTCCTGATATAAAACAACAAAAAAAATGTCCTTCGAGTTTTAGAATAAAAGGTCGATTCAGTTTCACTTCCTCATTCAAATAAATAAATTATCCACACTATCACTTTCTCAATTCGACTTCCTAGTGAAAAAAAATAAAATATATATCCTTCTGCTCCATTTCCCTTCCTCTATTTCCACTTTCTTCACTTTTAACTTCCTGGGTGAAGATAATCTTACATTTTCACACCGATCCAGCCCCTTTAGCATCGGTTCCGTGTGTCTGTGATTTATCCTGCATCTTGCTTCATCCGCTTAGTGCGCGAACGATTTTCCGTATCACAGCCGGGCGAGAATGATCCTCTTGGGGTTAAGGGGGTGGAGGGAGAGGGGAGCAGGGGGATGGGGGAGGAGGGCCATGGGAGGAGAGGGTGTGAGGAGGGAGGAGGATGTGAGAGAGGGGGTAAGGAGGCAGGAGGAGGATAGTGGGAGTGGAGGAGGAGGGAGGAGGGTGGTGGAGTGAGGAGGAGAGGAGGAGAGGAGGAGAAAGGAGGGGTAGAGAAGGGGGGAGGAGGGGAGGGAGAAAGGTCAGGGGCAAGGGTAAGGGAAAGGAGTGGGTTTTGTAAGAGGTGAACAGATAAATTGGATTTAGTAGGGGAGTGTAACAGTAGTGGTAATCACTTCTATTACGTTTTATGAATATTGTCATATCACATATTTTCCCCTCTTTCACCACATATATATATGTGTGTGTGTGTGTTAATCTATAATTTCCTATATACATACACACATATACACAAATATATATAAATATGTGTGTGTGTGTGTGGCAGAAAAACCCACAAAACACAAACTAGATTTTCTCCTTCCGATAATCTGGCTTCCCACACCCTCCGCCCTCTCCTCATGCCGGCCGCCCTTCGCCTAGACCGCCTGATCCTACGACCTGACCTGACTTCCCTTCGCCTCCGTTCGTCTGTCCTCACCTGGCCTGCGTTACCTTGTTGGTTCTCTTGTAGACTTCATCCACTCCGCTTCCTCTTAAGAACTGAAGATTAAATCCAGGAGGATTCCGAAACATTTGTCTCATATCCAGTAAATCTAGTTTGTGTATTGTGGGTCTTTCTTCCATAGTATCAACACGGCAGAGTGTTTTACCCTTCATATATATATATATATATATATATATATATATATATATATATATATATATATATATATATATATATATATATATATATATATATATATATGTATATATATATACACACCTGAAAGCCCCCCCTAAGCGCGACTTCCTCCCCTGCAGGTGGTCCAGGCCCTCGACCTCCCGGTGAAGGACGTGACCGGCTCCTCTGACCCGTACATCAAGGTCTACCTCCTTCCCGATCGCAAAAAGAAGTTCTGCACGAAGGTTCATCGGCGCAACTTGAACCCCGAGTTTAATGAGGTGTTCGTCTTCAGGTAAGGAGGGCATGTGGGGAAGAGGGGGGGGGAGGAGGGAGGAGGGAGGGAATAAGGGAAGAGAAGGAAAGAGGAGGGGGAGG